TTGCTGCAGCAGGATACTGCATCTTAGCTGTGCCCAAGAAATGACCACCGGAATCGTAAGAAAAAGGTTGCATACAAAAAAAGAACTGATCCAGGCAGTGGTGAGAATGAAACTGGCACTCTTTAGACACATGCAGGATGGACAACAACAGAAACATTAAAAGTGCTGTTGTTGTTAATAATAGGGGTTTTCCCCTTTTTTTCTGGCAACGAAACTGAAACCTTTCTTTACGAGGATACATATCTGCACTAACCACAATACTTGCAGTCAAAATGCAAACAAAAAACACACACTGATAATATATGCATTGTCCTTGAAACTGATTTGTCCACACCAGAGACAGCTTTCTTTAGAGCCTGGTCTCATTTGATGCTGGACCAGATGACGCCAAAAGGCGTACAGCTCAAATACAATGCACTATCAAAGTGATGAGGGCTCGGGGTAAGCATCTACATCATTAGACCTCCTTTGCCAGTACCAAAATGTAACAATAGGGTTTTCCCCCTTTTTTCTGGCAACAAAACTGAAACCTTTTTTTTTACTAGGATTCATGTCTGCATTAACCACAATACTTGCGGTCAAAATGCAAACAAAATGATGCAAACAAAATGATGATGTGTTGTTGTTGTTGTTCAGAAAAATGGAAGGAACCAGAATGAGAGGAAGGCCTCACAGAGAACGGCTTGGCGACATCACAAGAGATCGGTGCCAGAAAGATGCGGCCACCACTTGAACACATTAGCACGAGACAGAGAAAAGTGGGAAACAAATGACAAAATGTACAGTGGACACCTACGGGTCATGGATCGTGATGATGACCTCTCCAAGCCGTGAGTGTACAGGCCCCGGGGTAGGCAAGCGCAGAGTGAACACGTCACTCACTGTGCACGGGTTCTCAGTGCAGCGTGACGTTTATGGTCGCGGCACAGTCGCTGATGAATGTTCAAAGGCAAAAAAAGATCAACAATTATCTTTCATGGAGCGGCGGGGGGGTGGGGGGTAGTCATTTGTCAGTGCAGTGGAGGTAGACGTGATTCACTCGTCATTTCTTTTGTTGTGTTTCCAATTCACTTATTTTTTCCATTAGAGTCAGTACCGTTTATTTGTATTAAAGGCGTTTGGCATATCGATAGGACCAAACGCAAGCGCAACGTTGTGTACAACCCGTCGTGTCATTCCACCGCTCTTTCCGAATTCGGTTCCTGATAAATCCGCCAGGAACGCAGCGCGCGGAACGTCACAACGCCGTGCGGAACAGAACAACGCCGCGCAGAACGTCACAACGCCGCGCGGAACGGAACAACGCCGCGCGGAACGGAACAACGCCGCGTGGAACGGAACAACGCCGCGCGGAACGGAACAACGCCACACGGAACAGAACAATGCCGCGCGGAACGGAACAACTCCGCGCGGAACGGAACAACGCCGCGCGGAACGGAACAACGCCAAGCGGAACGGAACAACGCCACGCGGAACGGAACAACGCCGCGCGGAACGGAACAACGCCGCGTGGAACGGAACAACGCCACGCGGAACAACGCGCGCGGCCACGTCCTGAAAACACGTCGGGAAGTCGAGCTGTCTTTCCCCCACATGCTGATGGAAAACCAAAGGAGAATAGGTTTTCCCCTTTTGTCTGGCAACAAAACAGCTGTGTTCAGATGTTTAAACACAAAAACTGAATCATTCTACAAGGAATCATGTCTGCATTAACCACAATGCTTGTGGTCAGAATGCAAACAAAAAACATCCTCTGATAATATATGCATTGTCCTTGAAGCTGATTGAGACTAAAGAAAACTGTCTCTGGTGTGGACCAATCTGTTTCAAAGACAACGCATATATTATCAGAGTATGTTTTTTGTTTGCATTCTGACCACAAGTATTGTGGTTAATGCAGACATGATTCCTTGTAAAAGGTTTCAGTTTGGTGTTTTAACATCTTAACACTTGTTTTGTTGCCAGAAAAAAGGGGAAAACCTATTATCATATTTTGGTACTGGCAAAGGAGGTCCCATGATGGAAAACCAATTGTCAATGGTGGTCGGTCAGAGCCCAAAGTGCTCAGCAATAGGTATTTATTTCCAGACGTGCGAGGGTGTAAATTGTAAAACCGTTGTTTCCCCCGCTCCCTCCGTACGTTTGCCACTGATATGGAACGGCCTCAATCCCAGCCTGGAGTCGAGAATATCAACCGTGTCACCACTTCAGAGGTCAGACGAATGGCGCTCCTATTTTTTTTCTCATCCTCCTCCTCCTCCTCGCCATTCAGAAAAGAGTTCGGCGCATCGCAGCGATTAGCAAGTGGAGCACGGAGACGACGAGTGGCGATCGCCACTCTCGCCGCTGCTGCTGCCGCCGCGGAGCCGAGCGCGTGCCCACACACAACAGCTCCCTTCCTCCCGTCCCACGATACCCTGCGCCCAGCGCACACGACAGCCGTGCAGCGTGACCTCGTCTAAAGACTGGGGGACGGGGTGGGAGGGGGGGAAGTGTACCGCATACAAAATTTAAACCCGGGGGGATGACCACGACGATGACAACGCAGTGAATGTTAACTTTTAAACGCATGCCAAACGCCAAATAACACGAGGAGCAACGTTACCATCCGCTTTTGTCTGTCGTGCATTCTGCTCTGGCACGCACACCCTGCAAGGCTCATCACCGCACTGTGTGTCCAGCCCGCTGCAACTGCTGCGGGTAGTTTGTGTATTTGTGTATCATCGTCGTCATCACGTGAAGCTTGCACGTGACCAGCCAACGTGTGTGAGCAGTCAGTACAATATGCGAGACACGTAGGTATAGGTGTGCCATGATAGCGAGATGTTAACTACCTCGCCTGGCATTACAGGTCGTGGGTTCGGTCCCGACCCTTAACGCCTGCTGTATATTTGGAGTTTGCAAGTTCTCCCCGTGGTCGTGTGGATTTTTCTCCAGGTCCTCCGGTTTTTTCCTACACATTTAGAATCAACACGCTTTTAGAGTATTTGACTGCCATACATTTCCACGTGACAAGCCACTTCTTTGACCTATCATTTGCGGCCAGTTCGCTTCTGAAAAACATCTATATCGCTAGGTGGACTCTTAGCTGCTAAAATAAAAAAAAAATTATTTGAAGGAGGGTGGCTCAGCCCCCCTCCAGCAAAACCCCCACGCTATCGAAGCTGTCAATTCGTCTCAACCATAATGCCCTCCCTCTTCTGTTCCCGTGCCAAACGACACCTCCACTTGCAGAGAGGCAGCTGCGCCCCCGCATTCCGCATACCACAGCCCAAGTGGGGCCCCCGGTAATCAACGCGAGCACGGCCGAAGGCTGCTCGTTCACGGCCACGGGGGGGAGGAGGGCGCTCTCGATTTTGAAGGCCTTGACGACGGGCCAAGCCGTCCACCGAGCCTCTAAATCCACACTGCTGCCCTTTCATGCCCATGTCCGCTTAAAAAAAAAAATGATTTTTTCGCTTGCCTTGTCACGAGCACCTGCGTTTGGCGGCAGGTGATGCCGATTCACGCGCGCCCCGCTATCGGGGCCAAGCACCGGTCGCACGGTGTCCCCGGGCAATGCCTCAAAGTTGCATTGTGCACCTACAGCACGAAGCCGCTCTGAAGAGGGATCATTCCCTGAAACGTTGACATCAAATCTGTACGTGACGAGTAGAACCCCTTGTAACGGGGTTACAGCGCGGGCTGGACAAGGGTGCTTTTTCAACGGCGTTGTTTTTGTGCCATGTCTGAAACTCATAGTTTCGTGCCCTGCCACTATTTTTTTTCTGCTATGAAGGTCATGGGTTTCTGTCGTCATTCACAGAGTTGCTTCTTGTCGGCATTCGCCAAGCAAGCGGAGGCCCCACGGCGTGGCAGCACGGCATACACATATGGACGGTCGCCAGAGGCTGACCTTGCAAAAGTTAGCATTGGTCACTCTGCAATCTGGATGAGGGCAAAAACCGGTCCCACAGTTGTCTATTTACACATCACTTTCTGTTGCCACGATTGCTCATGTTATCCTCCTGACGGTTCACAAAGACAAAAGGGGGGACCGCAAATGTGCGTCTTCACAAAACGCTGATCGGGGTTGCGTGTGGTGGTGGTGTTTTTTTTGCTGTTGTTGTCGTTGTTGTGAGTGTACACGCAGTGGCGGGCCGTGTACTTTGTTTTTATTATTTTCCACCCGCCCGTTTTGAGACCGTGACGTTTATAGCATCGCTGCGCCCATTTTCAGTGGCTCGTTATAACAATGACGATAACAACAACAACAACAAGGTCGCAGCATGGCGATCGAAAACTTTACCCCATTGATGCACAGCGACCTTCACCCGGCCAAAACAGACAAATTAAATGTAACGGTGAGCAGCCACCGGCAAAGCCTGGCTTTAGTGTGTGTGTGTTTTTGTGTGTTAAGTATCTTATTAACATTTTAGAGCGTCGACATAGAAGAACCCCTGTTTTTCGGCGGCGACTAAGGGCTGGATTCGGGAATGCCATCACGGGCTCGGCCTAGGGTGCGTGTGGTGGGGGGGGGCTAGTGGCGGGGGTGGTGGGGAAGGGGGCTCTGTGGGGGGTTGGGTGGGGTTAGAGTGGGGGGGAAGGAGAGCCGCGTATCCGCTTACTCATTCTCTCTCTTTAAAAAAAAAAGAGAGAATATGTTTGGAAGGATCACTCGACTGGGATTAAAACCTAAGTGCTTTTAATGTAAGGCTTAGAGAGAGGCCGGAGTCCTTCGTGAACTTGCCGTTTAGTGCTTCTCACACAGGAGATTTGGCAGGAGGGATGAATTAGCTTTCAGATCGCCGCGGTTTTTTTGTTGTTGTTGGTTGTTGTTGTTGTTGTGGAGAGCGAACGAGGCTGTACGGTTTGTCTGCGGACGCGGGATGGCAGTGGAACTGCCAAGGCTATCGTGGCTCCTCTGCCGATGCGCCGTTGGCAGACCGCATTTGTGAACGTGTGTGTGTGTGTGGCTCGTCCACAGGTCCTTGATGAAATTGTAAACAATTTAACAAAAGTTTTATGGTACAAACGTATTTATTTATTTTCATAAGAAAAACTGTACATATTTACATCGCTTTGAGTATAAAAATAAGTTATACACATCTTTAAGTGTTTTTCATTAATACAGTGAAATTGTAAAAAAAAATTCGAAAGCCTCAACTCAGAAGTTTCACGAACTCCGTTCCGAGCAACTCCCATGGTGCAAGTTTCCCTTGCTACCCAATCGTCAGGTGTGTGCAGGACGTAATATCTGAAAGAAGACAGCACTCGGCTATCAATTCGTGAGTGTATAATAAAGCAGCGAAATGTGATCAAATCGTGATGTGCTGAATATCCGTTGTAGTAACTCTATTATTTTTATTGCTTTGTTGAAATTGCTCCCGGGAGTTTTGCAACTCATTGTAGTTTAGTTTCAATATTACGTCGACATTTAAAAATATTAACATTTTAAAACCGGTTTAGGTGTTGCACTTTGAGACGTGAATAGTGCTCGTGACAGTAATCGCTAAAAACAGAATCTTGAACAAGGAGAGATTAATGATGATCCAGCACTCGCCGATGCAGCCGCTTCCTTATCGCTCTTCTATCGCTACTACCATGCATGGTTACTGTTCCCATGAACTTCACTCATTTTTATTTCTCCACCCATGTTGAGCACTCGGTTGACCACCACACACTGACTTGTCTCGTTCACGCTGCATTCAACAACCACCACAACCACCACCACCACAACCACCACCACACTTCAGGTCCCAATGTTTCTGTCTCTCCTTTTTTCATTCCTAACACTTGCTCGACCGTTTGGAATTCCCTATCGGCTCTCTTCTCAAGTTGTCCTAATAATCTTGCTCAATTCATGGAACATATTAACGGCCACCTATTACGCAGGGCCTCCCAGAGGTTCGTGGAAGCTTGCGGCTGAATGCCACGTGGGGCCCCCTTATTTATAGGTGACATAACTAAATAAACGCACTTTGTGGGACCCTGTTCTGTGCGAGGCCCGGGGAAAATTGCTCATTTCGACCTCTATTCTGGGCCAGCCCTACTGTAACACCTTTAACAGTGCTGTTTGTTGCTGGACGTTTGGCATATTTGGGCCATCAGCCCTGTGTGCTCGCCAACTGTAATTAAAGATATAGTACGGCGTACGCGTGCCCGCGCGTGCGTCGTGTGCCTGTGTCTGCAAGGGCCCTGAAACCGTCATCCGGAGGAATCCGTGGCATTGACCGACGACGTCAGACGCCGAGAGCGGTGACGCACGCCAGCAGGCCCAGAACGGCGAGACGCCCGGGCGGGAGAGCACCACGCGTGCCAGACCGCGCGGCGCTGAGCGGCAGAACCGTGGCGAACACCGAGTCGCTGGTGTTGAGCGGCACGGGCAGGTTACAGATGCTGCCCTCGCAGCACGTCACGCACTCCTGCCGACCACAAAGTGGACACTTGATGAGTGCCGCTCGTGGGAGAGAGAGAATGGGATTAGTCATCCAATTTGAGATTTTGTGCAGAAGTGGGCATTAAACGCTTGCGGGGGATTTGGGGTGGGGGGGTTGTTTAGATTGTGTGTGTGTGTGCGTTCAGCTGTTAGACGGTCCCAGCTGCATACATTATTTAACTTAATTAGCTACGGATTAGTGAGCTAAGCACAGCCGGCTGCTGGCACAGTAACCATAGCAGAGACGAATGCGTTAACAAATGCACTTGCAAGTAGCACCGCACAATTGGCCGGGAGCATTGTGAATTCGGCTCGAATATCCTCACTGAACGTGTGCATGATAATCCCGATGTTCGCGCAAGCCATACTTCCACGTGCATGCGCACGGCATTAGCTCCGATGTTTGCCACATTCGTAAGTGTCCAGTAGTCCCTCGGTTAACGTTTCTTTATCCGTTCCATGAAAACTGCTGTAAGCCAAAATAACTGTGAGTCGAAAATCAAATCAAATCACTGAGTGTGCAAGAGAGCTGTTCCCACTGCTAAAACAGAAAACAAAATGTAAACAAAGCCAGTCGGGGTCGAAACGCAACGCTCATAAATTGAGCGCCGCTGATTGGCTGAGGGTATGGCTTAGCCCCACTTACGAGTACTCCGATTGGCCGAAAGTGGCGTCCCCACGTGCGTGACGTAAACGTGCCATTAATCAAATCGTGAACGTTAGTCGAAACCATGGGCTCCTACGGGAGGCGAAACGTTAAGCGAAAAACCGTGAACCGATGTCACTGTTCACCGGGGAACTACTGTAAATACAAACTGGCTGGGCCCCAATATCCTAGACGTCGTTTGAAGTGCACTTGTACGGGAAGTTGGCAGGTGCCAGGTTGGGGAGGCGGCATCGGTTGTACTTAACGGTGTGCGCATTTTAGGTATCGTTGACTCTGGGAAACTAGAGCAGAAAACCCTTAACTCCCCCACTCACCCCATCTCCTCTCCGCATCCTCTTGAACACGAAAATACAGACAAAGACCCCCCGTATAGCCTTAACGTACTGTTGGGGCAAGTGCTGTAAGCGACCGTCTATGAAGGCCGGCACGGCACATAAGGGGGTGAGTGGCCAGAACCACGCCCGGCCGCCTTTGGCTCCCGAGTGGTGATGTTTACACACTGCACCAGGTACTCGTTTTATGCGGAGTCGACTTAGGGGAGGACCAAGACCGCTTCAGATAATCGTCATTGGTGTTGACCGTGAGTGGGAATCGAACCCGGGTCGCTGTGTTCGTAGCGCCGACACGCTAGCCGCTGCATTACCACTGCCCCACTTAACACCACACACACACACGACATTCCCAAAGATACTATCTTAATAACAAAAAAAAACGCTATGAGTAAACAACCCTCTTTTTCCTGATATAAAAGTTTTATGTGTTATTTTCATGGGGCCCTGCTCTAAGACTTTTGGGCTTCGGGCAAAATAATGTCCCCATTTTGTCACAGACTAAATCTTGGGCCCCCCGAGTGCGCGTGGGTTCCACCACCCAGGCGGGACCCGATTGGAACCCGGCGGAGCAGCGCCTCGTGGAGTTTCGACGTTTTTTGCCGATTCACGGCGAGGTCACCTGCTCGCCGGAGAGGGGTCCGTCCCTGCAGCCGGTGCCCAGGCACTGTTCGAGGGCGGCGCACCGCTTCGTGACGGAGACGCTGCTCCCGCCGGTCCTCATGTGGTGGTACGTGTAGCAGTATCGGCTCTCTGCATGCGTGCGCGCACACAGTCGAACGTCGTGCGGAGCCGCGAAGTTACCACGCTGTGCTGAGCGACTTAACACGGTTGATAGCCCGGAAAACGAGATGCGATTTTTGGGAGTTGAACGGTTTTCGAAGAGAATTGCGGGACTGTTGGATTTGTGAATCCCACGTGGTTTCCCGTGGGGGAATCGGAAAAGCGTGCCGTGTCGCGGTAATCGCGAAATCGCCACGAGAGTCACATTCGTTTGCGTGGAGAAGCTGAAATCATCGTGGACATGAATGTACACCTGGGCTTTCAAACAATCCCCATTCACTTCAATGGTGATTCTTGCGGGTCCATTATTCTGTGGCAGAACCTCTGTTAGAGTCCCATTCAAGTGCTCGGAGATCATGAATAGAATCGTGATTCCTACAAGGATTGCTCATTACTCGGAGCATTCGTAGTGGGAGTGCAGAAAGGATGCGTAAGGTGTGCAGTTTCATTCCACATACATTATTTATCCCCATTAGAGCCCATTGAAATTCAATGTTTATTTAAAATACTGCACAATAAAAAATATGTATTTATATAATTTACTGCCCTTGGTAAAGCCACCACTTGATGAAGGCCTTCTTGGTAACGGGGATTGTTAGATCATACTTCACGCCAGTGGTCAAGTGGGGGTTGGACAAAGGGGGGCCCAGGAACGGTTCAGACATCACTCGGCACCCTGGTCGGGAAACGAACTCGTATCGCCGAGTTCATGGCACAGCGCGTTAATAAACTGCTCCACCCCACGATCCCATTACAGTACTGTCATATTTTTGTTTTACTCATATGCAGCATTTCACGCCCGATATTACGACTCACGATTTGTTTATTTTGGGTCGGTCGTGCGGCTGAAATGTTTCAATTTAGAGTTTGACAACAGACAAACGTTTCCGGCTTGCACAAAGTCCATCAGCACACCTGCCCACCTGACAAGTCGATGCGTTTGGCTGTGCCAGGTGGTTGATGGTGAAGAGTTTTTGTTGATGTTATGCCCACACGATCTGACCCGAAAATAAACTTCATCTTTATGAAATATATTAATAGGTGTTAACCCTTTCTGGCAATAAAACAGGTGTTAAGATGTTCAAACACGAAATAGATACCTTTTGCAAGGCATCGAAGTCTGCATTAACCACAAGTACTGGTGGTGAACATGCAAACAAACATGTTCTGATAAATATATATGGCATTGCCTTTGAAACTGATTGGCCCACACCAGAGACAAACTTATTTATGGCCGAGTAACACCAGTGTCGGACCAGAGGACGCCAAAAGGTGAACAGCATTATTTGTGTAGTTAATGCAGACCTGATTCCTTGAAAAAGGTATCTTAGTGTTTGAACATTTAATACCTGTTTTATTTCCAGAAAGGGTAAAACCTATTCTTATTTTTCATACTTTGATACTGGAAAAACGGTCCCAAAACTAAATTTTGTCTCGGTACTCATTATAAACACACCATCACCGCATTGCTGTATTTTTGTTTTATCGTTACATTTTAAGCACACTACCATAACGTGAGATTTTATTTATGCAGTTAAATAAACGTCATTGTCGATGCAGTGAACATTGCATACAAGTATAACATGTAACTGTTGTTACGATTGCCGCAAGCGAGAAAGTACCAATATCGCAACGTTCAGTATAGTCAGAACCACGTTGTGAAGTTCTATTGTGCTCTGCAATGCACGTGCCTCTAACCTCAGTATCATCATCATCACATGTTGTTTTGTCATCACGTAAATTGTTATAGGTGAATCTGGTTGTGCGTGGGGATGAATTTCACAGCAGGTTGTTGGCAGATGCAGCTTAATCACATTAATTTTTTTTGCCAGGGACTATTTACAAACGTGTGTTTACAGTACGCTCAAAAAGACAAATATTCCTGTCGGAGCAAGTGCTGTCATCAATAACACTCTGTGGCCTTTAAAGAAAAACAATATATATATATAACGGGCGACGTTTTGGGTTATTGGCTCCTCCTTAGCTTAGATGCATGCCCTATGAAGACGGGACATTGTGTCGTCGGATATTAAAGGCCACATGTGTCATTGACGAAATGTTTTGAGTTAATTTTGTTCATCGTGCTTGTGCACCAGTGCCAATAGAGCAGCAGCATCACGGATTAACTGGTTCGGTGATTTCGCTCCACTTGCGTTGATGTTCTATGGTGGCGAGATGTTAACTACCTCGCCAGGTATACAGGAGGTCGTGGGTTCGATCCCGACCCTGACCCCTGCCGTATATTTGGAGTTTGCGTGTTCTCCACCGTGGTCGTGTGGATTTTTTTCCGGGTCCTCCGGTTTTCCCCTCCACATTTATAACCAACATCACGTGTTTAGAAATATTTGGCCACTGCTGTAAATGTCCGCGCGATAAGCCACTTCGTTGAGCGGTCATTTGTGACAGCCAGGTCGCTTCTGAACACAGAGCTAAATAGCAGCTCAGTGGGCCTTACTTGGTCAAATAAAAAAAATAGTTTGAAAAAAATGTTCACCGCCAAAAGGCTGTTGTGTCGCCCGCGTTGTGTCGCTTGCGTGCCGAGCTTCTGGTTTGACGGCGAGCGGGAAACTCACCTCGGGGGCAGTACGTGTCGGGAGCCCAGCGGTTGCACTCGTAGTTGTCTTTGGCACCCTCGCACGTAAAGCACTTGAAGGCCCCCGGGTAAGGAGTTGCTGGAGGAACAGGATAAATAAGAGAGTGAGCTGTCTCGTAATTAAATGTCTGCACGCTCAACAGTCCTGTCAGCGTGTCACGGGCTGTGGAAAGACGCTGCGGGGGGAAGCGAATGGATTCGACGGCGGGATTTTTAAGGCGATGGAACTCTGTTTGACCACCCTGAAACCCGGTGGCACGGGACACAGCTTTCGCTCGTGTGTTTAACCTCACAGCCTGGTTGACCTCTTGCCCTCTCCGCTAGTTCCAGGCGCCCATCGCTTTTATGATTGTGTGTTTGCCCACCACTTTGTTTGTCTCCTTCCCATCTCCCTTATTTCCCCAAATCCCAGCCCTGCCCCCACCCTCCCAGCAACCCAGACACCGTGCAATCCAACCCTCGCTCCCACCCACATCCTTTTGTCTTCTGTGTTAAATATTAAATGAATGTTTTGAGTGTTGGGTGAAATCGTCGGAATGCAATTCTCTCCTTTACATTTTACTATGCTACAGCTCTCGGATACTGTCTTGCCTTTAATGCAAGGGAGATTTGAATACTAGGCACGGAGGTGCAGCTTTCGAGTTTTGCCCATCCAATCACAGGCAGCATTCTAACTAGGAATTTAAGCTCTAACACCCGCACGCTATTTCCCGTTCTTGCAAATGATGCCACGTGCTCTTTAGCACCCATGTCGCAGTGGATTGCAAGCTCTGGATAGATCTTCGGAATGATTAGCCCCTTGGCGACGGTCGGATTTTACACACGGACGCCGTGCAAAGACAGTGGCTCCGACGGCGATCGTGTTGAGCACGAGAACTACCCGCGGCTCGCCCCATCCCATGTGCCTTTACTGGATGGGTAGAGTCGCTGGATGTCGTGCGCCGTGAAGTCTCGTCCACGAGCGGGGCTCGAACCGATCACCAGAAGAAGCAGGGGCACCCAGAAGACGCGGGACGGCGGTGGCAGCGACAGCGGCGGGGATAGAGTCACAGTCAGGATGAGGGTCAAGGTTATGGTCAGGGCGGAGGTGCGGGTCGGGGGGTCCCAGTTAGCCTGGGCGGCCCGAGTTGGCATCGCGTGAGCCGGCGGGAGGCATCCAGAGCTGCCTCGTCTAGGCCTTCCTCGCCACAGCGGAGCCTTCCGAGAACCTGAAAGGGACACGTGACGCTGAGTGGGTCCTCCGGCGCGTGGGGGGATGCATGGCGCTGGAACTGCTTTCTGTTCAGAGCAGCGGGCAGCAAACCGCACGCAAGCGATGGGGCGAACGCGAGCTGCCCTATTCGGTTCGTGAAGCTCTCATCAAGTGCAGTGGAAACGTCGGGGATCAAGTCAAAGACCTCGTGCAACAAGAAAAAAGCACCGTACAGATAAACAGCACAACTGTGAAAACCTAAGCAGGACAATTTTGCTTCTGTGTGTTTTTTTTTTAAAGCAGCGTTCATTCAAGTAATTTGTCATACTTTGCACTAAACAATGAAATACATGACATATATATGATTAAATACAGCAGGGGCGCAGTGGTTAGTGCACAGTGTGCTGTGAACAGGCACCCCATATTTGAACTTGTGCTAGGGCACACTCCTTCACCACTCCACAGTAACCAGCGTGGTGAAGTATGGATACATAACCCCGATGATCGACCTGGTGTGGTACTGCCTTCATCCAACGAGGTTTATTTTCATTTGTCGAATCGTGAAAAACATTTGTACTTGTGTGTGTGTGTATATGCTGAACTTCTCTCGCACCGTACGTAGCCAACCGTGCTCATTCAGAGAAGGACAACAAAGCAAACACAAAAAGCCGTTCTAAAGAAATTCGTTTTTCCATTTAGAAGGAATACCAACAGACGTTGCCAAAATGCCAAGCCTAACCGTTGAACCCTCATGGCGAGACCCCGGGGTCCCGAATAAACGGAAGTCAAAATCGTAATGAATGAATTAATTTATTCTTTGCGACTCCGTCCCACCACGCACATCAACGCCGCGACCCACCAGACATCAATCCTCCCCTCGTGCTTCACCAAGCATCGTAGTCACAAACAAAACTTGGAAACTTTGATCGGTGCATCGTGTAGGGCTCGTCGAGAGGAATAGATCGCCGTGTCGTTCGCCTTCAACAGACATAAAATGACGTCGCAACGCAGTTTATGCGAGAGCCGGGGGCTTATGGGACCCCGGGGTCCCGCCATAAGGTTAAATTGTCAGTTTGAGGCAAGTCCCAGCAGCCTGACCTTAATTTGGGGGGGGGGGGGGGCGGGGACGATGATGACAACGATACAAATAAATAATAAACAAGCCTAAAAAAACACGCCAACACCCCCCCCCCCCCCCACCTTTCTCCTGGCTACAGAACACCCCCTCTGACAGCTGGCGATTTAACAGAGCCTGTGCCCATTATTATCTGAGGGCAGACAATGGCAAAGGGGGGCTCTGTGCAAAGATGCCTTGGTGGGCACTTTAGGTTTTAACCCTTTAATGTCTGGAAGTCTACGACCGGAACCAGGTTGGGGGTGGGGGAAACCTGTCTGGTCAGAAACTGCAGGAGAAGTGATTAAATAAATATATTTGCCCTCCGTGAACTATTGTGTTGCTTTAGCATCGCTACATTACTCAAAAAGAAGTAACTGTTAAGATGATTGAATTTGCACGTGGGGTAAGGCACTGCTTTTATTTGACCGTACACATTTACCATACACGTGTTTTTCCATTTATTTAACCCATTAACTATCATGGTGAACTTAAAATGAACTCAACAGAAAATGTACTCATCAGCAGCTCCTGGGTGCTTTTACTTTGGTACGGTATTATCACAGGCCTCCAGTCGGCTTGGTTGCTTTTGGCCTTTGTCATTTCCCCCCCCCACCCCGTTATGAAAACATCAAGGTTTCTTCGGGGGCCATTTTTTGCGATGAGAAGCTCCCGAGCGACGCGGGTAAAATCACGTGCAGGGCCACTTGCCCCACCGTGCAGGGCCACTTGTCCCACCGTACAGGGCCACTTGCCCCACCGTGCAGGGCCACTTGTCCCACCGGATTGGCCTGGGCCAACACGGTTCCACTCACCCGCCGCGGCTTCAGCGTCCTCGCTGCCAAGTGCTTAGGCGGTGCAACTGTACCGCGGGTTCTTGGACCGGTGGCGCACAGGCACCGTGCTATGAAGACAGGGGCGAAATTCGGACAAGAGGGCCATGATTGTTTTAAAGACAGCTGCTGATCACAGGCCCAAAGGCCCAGAAACGTCACGGCGAGCCAGCGACAAATAGCACTATCACGGTTGTTATAGATTATTTTCACCAGACCTCATGCCGAGCGTGCTATGCCACTGCGTGACTTTGTACCGCTCGCTCGTTCGTAATCCCAGGGCCACAGCGGGGCGGCGCAGCTGTTGTGGTCGTTACTCCACCGCTTTTGTTTTAGTTTGTGCGGTTAGCCGCGCAACTTTCATGGCACATTCTATTTCGGGGTTTTTCTTAACGACTCCCGGCAAAAACCTACATGCATGCACCCTCATCTCGCGTGTCTACTTTAGAACTGTACCCACATGTTCTTAAATAATTCAGGTGATGCATAGCAACACCAACAAAAACATACTTTTATAGAAACAAAACTATTAATGTATAATTAAAGAGTGTGATGGCCTATACAGTGCTTGCTATGAATACTGCATTGTGGAATGTTAGATGTCTGAAACTCCTTCGTTTTGAGGATGGAGTGTATGTCACCATACAACGCTTAGGAAACAGTCGGAATGCCGAGTCTGGCTTGTGTCTCGCGGATGGGCAGGTGAGCAGTGCCTCCTTGCCGCGTTGTATTTATTCACAGTTACCCTCATTGTGGCCTGAGCAAGGAGGAGGGGGAGGTCCTCCCCCCATGGGTCATGGACAGGAGATACGTCACGCTGAGACACCGGGCCGTGGCATTCGCAAGCCCCTTCTGTTTTGTGTACGCAGATGTCTCGCCTTGTCTGTCAGCCTGCCAGGGGTGGCAGAGGACGTGCCAAAAGTAACTGCCACGATTGTGGACTTTTTCTGGTGTGAGGAATTTAAGGCCGCGGCCTCCTTTGAAGTCCGTGGACTCTGCTCACAAATTATAATTTAGCCAAGGTAGATATAGTATTCCTGATGTTGCTTTTAAAGGTACAAATCTGCATTCCCTCAAACGGGGGGTGGGGGTAAGTAACATTTCATAATTTAATTAATATTATTCAAGCATGTTGAATCTGCCCTTATGGTCATGAAACATGCATTTAATCGTGTGCGTGAATTTACTATTGACATTTCAGCAAACCGCACGTTGGCAGCGATGCACAAGAACAAACAACGCACTTGTCAGCAACACTGCGGCATTAAAAGAAGTATATAATCGGTGACATTTTGGGAAATGGCCCTACTACTTCTTACCGCACAAATGGAGAGGCCAGAGAGGTAATGCTCAATCTCGCATTGTGAAGATGGAGAGCGATAACTCCCTGGCCTCTCTATCTGTGTGGCTATTAAGAAGGGGCATTGCCCGAAACGTCGCCTTTTATATACTTTTACTCTTAAGGCAGTTTTATTGACGAATGTGTAGGCTTTTTTTATATGTAAATTCTAAGACAATGTTGCATTGAGGCAAATGGTAAAAAAAAACCTTTTTCGAGATAAAGGCATGAAGAACTAAATCATTCAATAACATTTCATGTCACTGTTTATTTACTACACACATAATCTCCTTTAGCTAGTTACGCAGCTAGTTTGCAAGTGAGATCCATGGTGCCTCAGCACAGAACAAGAACAACGACATCAAAGACGTTAAACGATTTAAACAACACCTAAAAACAAGAAAGCTTGGTTCATTTAATCCATTTGTGGGTCACGAACAGTAAAATTTCATGAAGTCACCGAGGAAGTGAATAATTTGCCAGCCGTCTTTTATATAAGATAAACAAAAATAAATTGGAGAGAATGTTCCTCGAAAGAAGGGGACATGGCCAACCCGCTAAATTGAAACACACCGTGGCGAACGCGCGGGTGGCCCGGTGGATCCACACCGTGCGGGTGGCCCGGTGGATCCACACCGCGCGGGTGGCCGGGTGGATCCACACCGCGCGGGTGGCCCGGTGGATCCACACCGCGCGGGTGGCCCGGTGGATCCACACCGCGCGGGTGGCCCGTGGATCCATACCGCGCGGGTGGCCCGGTGGCCCGGTGGATCCACACCGCGCAGGGCCCGTGCGCGACCGACCTCACAGCGAGGGGCAAATCCACGAGTCACGCGCCCGCTGCGGGCCGATCGTCAAACACACGCCAGGCGCCGCAGGTGCCGCCTCGCCGCCGCCGCCTGTTTCCTCGCTTTTGGCTGAACCCTAACACCTGAGCAGGCGGAACCCCGCTGGGGTCCCCCCCCCCACTGCCTGTGTGCGTGTGTGTAGTGTGTGCGTGTGTACGTGTGGCGCTGAGCTGTGGGGAGCGGTGCTGTGGCGGTTAGCGCGCTGCGCTACAAACCCGGCGACCCGAATTCAATTCCCTCTCCCGGCCAACACCAGTGACGATTATCTGAACCGGTGATGGGCTTCTCCTAGGTCGACTCAGCCTCAAATGAGTACCCGGTGCAGTGTGTAAACATCGCCACTGGGGAGACAAAGGCGGCCGGGCGTGGTGCTGGCCACCCACCCCCTCGTGTGCCGTTCCGGCCGTCATAGGTGCTCGCTAACAGCACAGGCTATACGGGGGATCTTTGTCTTTTTGTGGTGGTGAGCCTTTCTGCAAGTTCAATCTCGCCCGAGGGCCACTGTGCCACATGTGGGTCACCCTCGCTGGGGCCACCATGCCCCCAACCACACAGTCACGTGTCGACACACGATACCGTTCGAGAATAATTATACTTGACTGCCCTTTGTCAATCTAACTGCTGGATGAAAGCCTCCCCATGCCTTGTCTGAAACCGTCAGCGCTGTCGAGCCCCTTGGTTTGACCGTCCTTCGCGTGAGCTGGGTGCCCGAGACCGATTTGAGATATCCCCTCGCTTTCCCACGTGAGCTCAGCTGCGCTCGTCACGAATTGAACTCGCTGGGTTATCTGCATTTTTGCGGGCCGTAATGCCTCGCCAAAATAGCCCGCATGCGCTAAGTGGGGGTGTAGTATTTTATTGGAGGCATTTTAAACTAAAAGTGCGTTAAAAGTGTTTTACGCTGTGATAAGCGGGGGGGGGGGGGGGGGTGACTTTTACAGCACGTGGTTCTGCGTCGTAAGTTTCGGACAATAGAAAGTTCCCCCCCCCCCTAGCCCCCGCAAAGAAAAAAACCCGCCCTCCTTTAAACCGAACCGTAAAAATGTGTTGGAAGTGCGCGGTACGGCAAGTGTGTACACACTCCTGTTTGGAAGGGTTTGTTTTTATGATCGTGTTCACTGTGGCGACCAGGTAGAGGACTGCACAAGAAGGCGACGCACGTACAGTGTTCACACGGTATTCCCCTAAACACTGTACGGGCCATGCTGAAATGCTCGAATGACCTTTCACAAAAGGTCGTGCTGATGTACAATGTCTGGCTGATGCAGAAGAAGCCCCATTTCTTAAGGTACCCATATGCTCTGACAAATTCTGCAGTATAATGTGTGCAGTACTGCGATATTTAGATAATATTTTATTATTTACACATTGTGCATACATACATAACCCTGAAGAATGGCCCAACATGTTTTGAGTGTCCAATATGAGAGTGTATTAAGAGTATGTACTGCACTGTGGGGTGGAGCATTGGATTTGGTTATTTCGCACTGAGCTAGAAACACGTTGACCTGCGTTTGATTACCAGCCACAACTAACATCGGCGGCAGTGAAATCTTAATCCATCCTGGGTCCAATCAGCACTGCCCAGTGTGGTGAAGTATGGTCAAACAACCGCATGGCGTGGGAAGGCCTGCATCCAACGGTGGGCTCACAAAGGATGTACATTTTATACAGTACTTTTCTAAAGAATACATTTGCTGCACTGGTTTTCCTAATTGATTTTTTTTTTCATTTTGCGCAAATGCTGTAAGTGCTGTTTTTTAATTGAAATTGTTCGGAAAATCATGAATACATGCTAACAAAATGTTATCCTGCTCATGCGGGATAAAATAGCATGCGTCCGTTATATTGTGTCAAATGCGTTTAGGATGCGGCGAATACGTTTCCAACTTGATTTTACCAGGCTAGCGAGTCGGCAACGAAAAAGAACACAAAGAGCCCTCAACATTTCAAGAGTCGCGATGCACTGTGGCGAACACGAGGCGGTGGATCCTGAAATAAACGTCGCGAAGCAGCCCCCTTAAAGAGTCGCCGCACGCGGCTCTGGAGACGCAGGTTGCCGATCCCTTGCACACCCGGCAGGCGACAAGACACAAACCCATTCGGAAGAATAGAGAACAAAACCCATGGCAAGCATCGTTTAATTCCCAACGGTGATCCCGAGTTCCAACCAAAGGTTGGGGGGAAAAAAAAATGACAACGAGGATTAAGTTGGAGTTCCCATTGGATTGGATCGACATTGTATCGGAAGTTTGCAGTTGACGTGTACAACGGTGTGACCGATTGTACTCAAACGCAGGCAGCTGTGGCCAGGAACGTGCAGCGAAAGCACCAGCAGTGACTGCTTAAAGGCGACAAAGGCCCATCCCGTAAAGCGATAAGTTACTCAACTTACAGTTAGTACATTATGCGGACAAATCTTGATCTGAATAATGAAGAGAGGTATTTTTTTTCCCTTTGTCGTCTTCTTCTTCTTCCTGCTTTGTAATGGAACACCCACCGCTGGCAGGCTGCCACGGGATGGATATCTTCAGCGGCTGGCGAGGAGCGAGTCATGTGCAAGGCAGTACAGTCTGACAAATGTGCAGCCCCACATATAGCGGCTTGCTCCATAGGACAGCAGCTGTGGGGCCTTGGTGCGCGTCACTGGAACACACCACCACCCACCCACCCACTATCCATCCACCCACCCTTTTTTTTCCCTTCCTCGAATTTTATACGGCGGCACTGACTTAATCCCTGCAAAGGCTCCACTGAGCCAAAACATTTAGGCTGGAATTTGAGTTTCTGGGTGGCTGCGCAGAGAAAGGGGTCACGCCAACAGAAGCCTATCTGCGGTGATTCACCGCGCGAAATGTGAAACGCAGCCAACGTCTCGGAAAACGAATGATTGCATACGGTGCAGCACTCCGTATACATTGGGCTACCCGTGCCATTAAGGGTAAGGATGGACAATCCTTCCTTTTTAGAAAGCTACCGGAGCTATGCACTTTTACATCTAAATTGAAAAAGCATTGCTTTAGAACTGCTTCTTGTGTTTAGTTTGTTGTCCGACCCACCCCGCACCTCCGATTAGCACGGTTATCTACGTACGGTGCGAAAGAGGTTCAACATACAGACAGACATTACAATACGCTACGATGTTGTTTCGTTTAAGACCATTAAATACCTCGTGCAATATTGCTTAAGGACCTTGTACTTGTTCTCTGCAATATTAATGATGTTGCCTTGTTGTTGTTGTTGCTGCTGTGCTCACGCAGCACGGATTACCCGTGCAAAAATAGCCAGGCAACTAGCTAAAGCCCCCCCCCCCCCATCATGTGTGACAAATCAAATAAACTCAACGCTCACAGATCGTCCAAATGCGACTGCATTATCTCGAGACGAACCAAAAGACACGGAAACAGTGGCACATTGCGTGCACAGCAAACGTTTCTTTTGCGTGCCATGTCATAAAACCGCGACCATTGTAATTCATAAGCTAAAGGTGTGTGCAGTTATGGGAAATGGTGACAGTGTTGGGAGTGGATGGTTGTCTAATGTGTGGGTGGAGAGCGGTGGCGTCTCTGCGCAGCGGTTAGCAACGCCGCACTTTGAACGTGGCGACCCGAGTTTGGATCCAGGCGACGGCTAACATCGAGCGCCTGGTGATATCAGCACTCTCCGGCAAATGAGCACTTGGCGCAGCGTCTAAACAGCATCACGGGGGAGACAAACGTGGCCGAGAAGATGCATACAGACCCCCAACGGTCTGTATGTACCATGAACTTCTTTCGCACCGTACGTAGCCAACCGTGCTCATCGGAGGTGCGGGGGACGGCCAAGAAACTGAACACAAAAAAGCAGTTTTAAAAGAAATGAAGTTTTCAATCTAGGTTTAAAAGTGCATAAGCTCTAGTGGCTTCCCAATATCGGAAGGAGGGTCTGTATTAGGCTACCCGAGGGAGCCTTTGTTGGCGGTGTCAGTGTGTGTGGTGTGCAAATTCGTCGATGGTATACGTGCTGTGGTAGCTCAGCGTGAGCTCGTCTTACAAGAGCGAGAGAGACAGTTGCGATGATAATTAACCAGCGAGCGATAACCATCGCTTAAAGGAGATGTTTTTTTTGCACGTGCAGTATACGTTACAGTATTGAGCGGTCGGTGGGTTTTGAAGTGCAAAACTCGGTCGTGACCTCTGCCATGGGGGAGGTGGGGGTGCTTTGGATTATGCTCGCTTAGCCCTCACACATTTCCTGTAATAGGTTCCGGGGAAATTGAGGATCTTTTACAAAGGCGAGGCTGACCGGTGGCTACAGCCATTTAATCACTCTCCTACATTCAACTGCGGCGAGTGCTGTTAATGTCTTTCGAAGTGAAAGTGGGGGGGGGGGGGGGGCACGACATTTAATAAGTTTAGGAGAATCGGAATATTATACTTTCTTTTGTGTGCATGATGAATTACACGACTGTGGCCGTAGCTGACGTTTTATTATCCTGTGGATTTCTTTTGACAATCCGAAGGTCAAGTTTTTGGGGGTAGCTGTTGTTCAAGTTGCTTTACCGGAGGTGCCTTGGTTACATTGATTTGTTTTACAATACTGTACTGTAGATCTCGAATGTCTACACACTAAGTGACGGGGGAGAGCGGTGGCGCAGTGGTTAGCGCACTGTGCTAACGAGCCCGACAACTCAAGTTTAGGTTCTCGGTGATGGCTAACATCAGTGGTGAGGTCATATCTGAACCAGTCCTATAGTGGGCCCTCTCCTTCAGCAACCTGCACTGACCAGCATTGGGGAAGTATGGTCACTGGTCATATAATCGGAGGTGCGTTTAGCCAACAATGTTAATCGCACCTCCGATTAGAAGGGTTGGCTACGTACGGTGCGAAAGAAGTTCAACACACCGTACATATACAGTCCCGTAAAGCGTGGGGAGCCCTTCATCCAGCAGAGGATTGATAAAGGGCTGCACATTTATGTTGACCTAGTTGTGTATGTATATCAATTCAAGTCTTGTTGAATCATTCAAATCATACCCTGTTTAATGTTATATTGTACTGTTCTTCATTTATATCATGCTCTGTTGTGTTAATTTGAACTGGCATTATATTTGCTTTTTCAGAGCAATAGTGACTTTTCCCTAGAGTATCCCTTGAAAGCGACCTAAATGGGCCCTCTTTCTCTCACCTGGCTCTTACTAAGAGCATCTGCCATATCTCATCTATATATGACTACAAATGGCTTTGCAGTCCGTGGGCTAGCTACGATAGACTGCCTGTGAAAGGAGCTTAAAAAAAAGAAATGTGATTGATGCACAAATACTAAACTCAGGATCGGACCCTACTTATCAGTGCCTGCTGTTGCAGAACATGTTTCACAATCAACATGAATGAGTATTTAAGACATTTTCCTTCCACTCGTCACTTTCCGTATGTGTATTGACTCATCAGTCTGCACGTTAACTGTTATTAGAGCACTTGAATACACTGTGATAGGAGTGTAGCCATACACAAATAATACACATATTATTTCCTGCCTCAGCAGCTCTCCCGATATATTTTTCACCTGATTACGATTGCTCGTGTTGCGATCGAAACGTCGTGATATTGTTATTATCTGTTTTAATTTTATTGTTTTTCTATCTACGTGGCTTTACCGAAAGACCCAAATAATAAGAATAGGAGTGTAGCCTTTTGCTTCAGCACGTAACGTTTCACCCCCCCCCCCCCCCGGTGCTGCTCGATGTTCACATGTATTAGGCAGTCGATGCATGAATCACTAAATACACGCATCGCCTTTGCTTCGGCCGCATATAAACAAGACCACGAGCTGTGGCGGAGTACGGTTGGCAAGGGCCCTTGTGCAAGGAATGTTGTTGAAATGGGGGGGGGGGGGGGGCGGTGCCCTCCTGCCCCAATATTCCTTCCCTCTTGGTAGTCCCAGTGCTTGGACACCTCGGGCCCACGGGTCTCAGTGCAGTTGCACCGCCTGCACACTCGATAGCCAACTCCGCTGCACACACAATGCTGCCGCATGTCTTTCTCGGACTTTGTTATTGTTCAAGATCCTTGCATGTGGCGATTTTCCCCGCGCAGTCCAGGAGTTGGCCTTTGTCGATTTCCATCCGTGTTTGTCGTCTTTTCACTGCACAGCGAGGCAACCTCTCCCTCGTCCGTCCAACGCTCTTGTTCACACCGTACGTGCGGGAAAGACGTGGCAGGAATCTCGCTTGGATCAGGCAGCCTCACGCCACTCGCTCAGCACTATCCTGGTGTCACAAAGGCAGCCCCATCTCCCAGTGGCGAGTTTTCCTGTCGTTCGGCTTGTTAGCATGGGACTGATGGAATGATTGATTGATAGATCAACTCCCGCGGCTGCCGACAGTGATTCCTTTTGCGGTGCAGCTTTACCTAAACGCGTCGTCTGCAGGAAACTGAACGCCTGAAGAGATTTGCTGCGTGAGATATTTATAGAGTAGTGGCAAGTCTACATTTGGAACTTTTGCTTCCATCTTTATGAAGAAAACAATTGTCACTTTCCTGCCCAATTTCTCAATGCGCGTTTGCGTAAGAGGTAACATCGTGGGACCGTAACAGATAGCAGTGGCTTTGAGAGGCCTTAATCCTGCGGTGGATTGCTCATGGCTAATAATGACGATCACATCCATCATCCAACTGTGGATTGATCGTGGCTCATGATGATGCAATAACGATGTAACTTTCATATGTAACCACGTGAGAGTACAACGGAGACAAACGCATGACCGTGGCCAGCTGTCACCTGGTCAAAGTTTGTTGACGTGCATCTAACTGAAAACCCATCCCTGTAGGAACGTCACGATGCGTTCTAGCACGAGGCGGTGACCATAGCTTAATGCATCAAGGTGGAACGACACCTTCGAGAAGTCCACGTCATTTGAAACACAACGGATTTGGTGAAACATTCATCATCGTCGTCGTCGTCAGCCACGATCAATCCACTGATGGATGAAGGCCTTCCCAAGCCATCACCATCTGTCACGATTATACGTTGTAGCAACACGTTATCTGTACAGTACTATTATCATGCACGGCATGAAGAAAACCGGTGGAGTAAAATCCGCAAGGACTCACCTCTGTCTTTTTTTTGGGTCCAAGTCTCGCAGTGTTTCTCTGGCGTGGGCCCTGAGAACGAGCGACCATCGGGCGGTGTCGCACGGCCAGCGAAGCGGCGGCGGTGGGAGGGGGGTGCCGTGGAGGCACCAGTGAGTTAACTCCTCCGCAAAGAACCCCGAGGCCGAGTGGTGTAACTCCGCGAAGGGAGCAGTCGGAGAAAGCTCGCGCCTATTCCTATTGGCCGCCCGGGGTGAGAGCAGAGAGGGGGGTGGGGAGGGAGGTTCTCTCGCTGATGATGGGCGTAAGGGATCTTGCACACATACACACAGACACATATGCGTCAACATACTTGGGACACAAAGACAAAGTCCCACCCACCCACCCCACTCTTATAGCCTTAATAGATTGTTGGGGCAAGGGCCGTTAGCGAGCACCTTTGAAGACCGACACAGCGCAGGAGGGGGTGGTGTGACCAGAACCTCGCCCGGATTGCCTTAGTCTACCAAGTGTTCATCTTTGCACGTCAACTCCAGGTACTTATTTAAGGCTGGGTCGAACTAGGGGAGGCCCGTGACCCTTTCAGACATTCGTCACTGATGTTGGCCGTGAGCGGGAGTCGAACCTTCGTCGCCGGATTCATAGCACAATGCGCTAACCTCTGTCCCACCGCTCCTCACTTCAGAAAAATGCACATACATACATATACAAAAACCTATTAAGCACACTTGAAGACATGCACAGATATACACGCACACATATACTTAAACACAGTTGAGAAGCGTGCATACACAAATACACACATGAATACACTTGCGCACACACATGTGCATACTAATACGGGAATACACGCATATGCAAGTACCCATGAGCAAAGTAACATTGATACATGCATGGAAGCGAAATGTTAACTACCTCGCCTGGTACACAGAAGGTCGTGGGTTTGATCCCAACCCTGACGCTTGCTGTATATTTGGAGTTTACGTTCCCCCCGTGGTGGTGTAGATTTTTGTCCGAGTCCTCCGGTTTTACCCTCCACATTTAGAAACATGCGTTTATAGTATATACCTGCTATAACTGTCCACATGATAAGCCGTTTCGTTGAGCTATAATTTGTGGCCAGGTTGCTACTTAAAAAGAGCTATACAGTTCAGTGGGCCTTACCTGGTAAAATAAAAAAATGGTTTAGTTTATAGTTTAGCTTGGACACTCAAGTGTATGCACAGCAGGAAAAAAAAATATGAAAAATGTAATTTACTTAACTAAGCATAGAAAGTTTCATTGAGTCCCAAAAACGCATTCAGGAGGGTGATGCATTGAGATGTTTGGCCAATGTTATTTAAGGTAGATATTTACACATGGGGGATGAAACCAAGAGTATCTGGAGAAAACCGACCCCCACATGTATGATAGAGGGTTGCACTCAAAGGCCACACAGATGGGTTCACAAACCCTCTTCCTCTGCCAGCTCCTTGCCACCTCGCAATCCAGAGACATTCTTGTACAGTACAAATCTAGGCAATTCACCAACCCTCGTCTTAAAAACGATGGATCACAGGTGTGCTCCACCACCAACACCAGCTGATGTGTGTCCAATGGTGTATTTGTGGAGATGGTGAACATTTTGGGAAGCAATCCCACCAAAGCGAGCATGTGTTTTAAGGTGAAACACCACAAAGAAATACAACTTCCTCTTCTTTCTGCCCATTATTCCCACTCGTGTGGGCCCTGCCTTCCTGCTTCTCTTTCTCCACCCCTCCCCATCCTGGGCCATCATCTCTACGGCTACTCCACATCCTGGTTCACCACTTGGAACTTTCTCTTTCTGACCCTGCTTCGGCCTCCACCATGGTGCGTCCATCTTCGTCGAATTTCTTCCAAAGCAGAAATGCTATACATATAAAAAAAATGACTGGAAATCTTTGCAAGTAGTCATCATCATTATGGTTTATGTGACTGTTACGTTGCTCATGATTTACCTGGCCAGTTGACTCAGTGGCAGAGTGAGCGCCTCTCGCAAGGCTGTGACTTCAAATCGTGGTTTGGAGTTAACTTGGCCCATCATCCCCTCGGGCTTCGTCCAAATTGTGGAAGAAGTCAGCAGTGGTTTTCCTATTCTTGGTTTTTTCGGTAAAGTCACGTAGAGGGGAAATAATAAAAGAATACAAAATAAAACAATAAAATTATCACGACGTTTCGATTGCAACACAAGCAATCATCATCAGGTGTGACATTTTTTTATTGCTGTGTTTTTTTTTTACACCTGATGATGATTGCTTGTGTTGCAATCGAAACGTCATGAGAATTGTATGTAGTATTTTTTATTATTTTATTATTTCCCTTCTACGTGACTTTACCGAAAGAACCAAGAATATGAATCCCTGCAGCCACGAAAGCTTTAAATCGAAAAAAAGGTTTTCCTATCGATAGATAGAAGCCTTGCCATAGGACTGTTGAATTTCCAGAAGAGAGGAGACATTGTGAGAAATAAATTACTGACATTGTGGACAAAGAAAGGCCCCTGACATGAAGCTTGCTGTGTGTAGACCGTAGGAAGTAAATGTGAAAGCACAATTCGGAACCCGCGAACGCACACTGGGACACAACGCCTCCATCAACAGTACAATTAATCTGCATGCGGTATAAGACCACTCTGTCGATCAGAATCAAGGGCTCTCGTGATCGCAGTGCTCTCGGGGAGAATTTGGAGGGCAGGTGCCAGCTGCAGATCGTCTGAGAATAATAGAGATTAGTAGAAACAATTGCTGGTTCAGCGGAAGGGCCATTGAAATATTTCAACTAGGGTAATGTTTCCCATGACTCAGGTCCACCGAGGCTGTGATAAACCGACCGCTTGTGCGCGTGGCTTCCATTTTATAGTGTTTGCACGCTTTTTGTTTGAGATCGTCATCATTATTACAAGCCGTGGTCAATCCACTGCTGGATGAAGGCCTACGCAAGCTGCTGCCCCCTCTCACGATTCCGCAATGTAATAATCCACCTGGCAACTGAAGACAAACCGATTTTTATTGCTCCATCTCCTAGATGGGCCCCTAGAGACTGCCGCTGCAGCGGTATTTAGAGAACATCGGTCCATCATCCCATCCAGGGACGCGTGCTGGCCACGCTTATTTACTTTTCTTAACAGTTTGGATGATTTCATTAACCTGAAAAACGATGTCCGATCCATATGTTCCTCTTACTGTCGCTCACTATTGTACATCAGAAGCAGAATCTGTATTTATCCTGGAGAAATCAGATGAGCTATGAAGCTCTTTTTCCGCAGATGAGAAATACAGGCGGACCTCGCTTAACGCGACCCCGTAGAAAGCCGATTCGTTATAGCCCTCTTTGTGCTGGAGACGTGTTGTTTGTTACAAAAGAAATGAAATAAAAACATCTTAAAGGCGATGTTGAGCGCTGGCCAAGGAAAGGTTACCCGTCCTTATTATTCGCTCAGCCAATGAGAGCGAAGCACGCTGAGCCCGCCCCCCCCACCCCATTCCCGCGATTCGATTATCACGATTCATAGTCACGACTACAATTAAAATAAATCTCTAGAAAAAAATCTATTTTTTTGTTCCAATGTTATTACAGTTCGGTTAGCCAAGTGAGAACTCACGAGATCAGGATAGAGTCTCAGGTTCTCACCACAAATATTTAGACAGAGGGCATCACTAAGATCACAGAGGTACTGGATCCCTTGCCTGAGAATGACCCGGATTGTGAGCGCAGCAGCTTCTACACAATTGCCTTGCAGGGGCAGTGCAGTACAATGCGCTCGTGAAACACAGCACATAATTACTACAGATGTTATAATTAAATTATTCGTTTTGTTTATGAAATAATGTTTACTATCGGTATTATTGTTAGCGCTGTTACCGATACCTCAATTAAGCCCTCATATATTGCTCATGTGAAAGTAATCACACGGCCGGGAACGCATCCCAATATATATACACAATGGTATAATGACCCCCTTTTAGCGCTGATTAAATTAGTGCTCCCTTCTTCAGGAACGCATCTTGAGCGCTAAGCGAGGTGTGCCTGTATTAATAATATTCACAGCCCCTTGCCAATCCACTGCTGGATGGAGGCCTCCCCATGACCTGAATGGCATTGTTTGACCATACATCACCATGTTGGTTGATGACACAGTCCATTAACCACTGCATCACCGATCCATCCCTCTTATACTTACCGTATATATGTGTGAGTTGCTATCATGCAATGCCTATGGGAGTGTGTTGCTATGTTTCTGTGTGTGTGTGCATAGTGATGCTAGTGTAGCGGTCAGCGCGCTGCGCCACGAACCTGGCGACCCGGGTTCGATTCCCACTCATGGCCAACCCCAGTGACGAGTATCTGAGCTGGGCCTCCCGTAGGTCGACTGAGCCTTAAATGTGTACCGGATGGAGTATGTACACATCAGTACTCGGGAGACAAGGGCGGCTGGGTGTGCTGTTGGCCACCTACCCCCTCGTGTGCCGTGTCGGCCTTTATAGATGCCATCTAACAGCACTTGCCCCAACAGTCTTTGTATTTGTGTGATAGTGTGTGTATGTTTGCACGCGTGTGGTGCAGCGGGAGTGCTGCTGTTTGCATATATCAAATGTGTCCCGAGGATATCTCATATTGCAGACGCACCGCGGGTAAAATTATAATGATGTTGAGGAGTGGTGCACATGCAAGCAGCTTGGAAGCAGACAGAGATATGCGTTAGAATACTGGGCGTGAAGGCAGTGTTAAAGCATAGAGGGAAAAAATAATCATTATAATTATCACTGCCTATTACAGTATTAGGCAATGCAGTCATTTAAAATGAGCCAACTCCATACCGCTCATCAGAGAATAAATAGCATTAGTCTGCTAGCAAAAGATTCCTTTGCATCTTATGTGAGCAAGTGATTTTTCAGCATTTTATAATCGTAGTGTTGGGAAATAACGAGGGCAGTGCCGGGATTTGTCCCTCGTGGTGGCGTGAAAGAGTTTGATGAAACAAAAACTGGAGTACGTAATTGATTCATCAGAGGAAGTACATGGAGTGTGCTGTTTGTATGGGGTGTTTTGTGTGGATACATAATAACGTCTTTCGCAGTGTACGTAGCCGACCGTGATAATCAGAGGTGTGCGGGAAGGACAACGAACTGAACACAAAAAAAACAGTTCTAAAGAAATAAATTATAACGTATATTCTTGGTTCTTTCGGTAAAGTCACGTAGAAGGGAAACAATAA